CAAAATCAACACTATTTTGCTGGCCTTAGTTTGTTCCTAGCAGGAACAATTAAAACAATTCATTTAGTCTTTTTTCTTTCTTACTAATCCAGTAATGCATAAAATGTTGTACTTGACATTTTTCTAATTAGCCCAAATGAGAACTAAGTAAGGTTCTGATGTTGTGCATGTCATGGTGCAATTTCCAGATGAGTCCATCTAAAAACAACAGGTATGAACATCAACTCTCTTCTGAAACAGAAATCCCAGAGGAATGGAGGACTGATCTGAGATCTTGTGCTTTCCACGCCAACTAGGGAACATGGAACAGACTTAAGACCTAAGATGTTGTTCCTGTGCTGTGTGGCATCTGAATTTGCCATATTTTGTGCTTTGCTGAACAGAAGTCAGCAGTATTTCCTTCTTGCTCCTATCCCTCAATAGTAGGGACATCTAAATTTTAAGGGAGGAAATACTGCTGAGACCCCCAACTGGATCATAGGCAGGAGGTTCTTCACCCCACCTAGGCTCCACTCGCTTGCGTTTAAACACAACTGGTTCCCTGCATGATCCTGTCAAAACACCACATTTGTCCCTTCAGCTTCTCATTACTCTTGAACTTGCGGGTCTACCCACCTTTCTGTTTTCTGCCTCTTAATATAGCCATATATATTCATATTATAATTACTTGTTCCCTTGACTTTGCTTGCTATAAAACTTTATCTTCTCAATTTCTCCCTCCCACATCCCTCCGCTTTCATAGGTTTCTAGGGTTGGAAGGGACCTGTTAGGTCATTGAGTCCGACCCCCTGCTCTGGGCAGGAAAGAGCGCTGGGGTTAAGTAACCCCAGCCAGGTGTTTGTGTATTCCTATCCCTCAATGTGTTCTACTTAAAAATCTATAACAATAAAATAGTAATTTCTATAGACTAAGAAAGTTAATTTGGGATAATATACTCACAAATGTATTCTGTAATAGCACACAATGTCCCAACTTTCTATATTAGTCTTAGGCCAACCTTCCTGTTTTCCACAAAGCTATTGTGCCTTATGGAGAAGGTAAAAGTTATTAAAGTAACAGTTATTAGATAATATAAGGTTATTAAAAGTAATGGGAAATACCACTTATAACTCTTATAACCTACCTTACCTTAATGGAGAAAAGGTATAAAATTAGAAACATCTATGGATATTATTTTTCAATATTTTAAACATTGAAAAAAAATGTGGATAGAATATACAAGTTGTGAGGATAAAGATGTCAACAGAAAATTTTACTTCTTTTCACTAGCTATACGTGGTCACCATTTTGGAGTTTTCTTGTGGTTAAAGTTGAATTTTGAATGAAATAATATGAATTGTGAAGAATGTGTGCAAGTGTAGTGATGTAGAAATTGTCAAGAACTGAAAACATTGCCCAGCAGTCCCCTTGAAATGTTCAGTAATCTGATTTGTACCAAGAAACAGTTTGATACTAGAGATCAGAGAGAGACATGACTCACCTCCCTCACATGATCTACATCTCTCCCCCTGACTCTCCCTCCACCAATCAATCTATCCCAAAGGGTTACAATTTAAATGTGTAACAAGAGAAAAAAGTTTGATATAGAGAAATGAAGAAACACCAAGAAAACAATGACATAGGACTAGACAATGAAAATTAAGAGCTCTGCTTATGGAAAATTGACAAGTGCACAGGCAATTCCAACCTCGAGTAGTGAATGATTATGGAAGATATGAACTCATGAGACCAGCAGAGTGAAATAGAAAGGGTTTTGCAACCTCAGTTATGGTACAGGAAACATCTAAAAAAACCCAGCAGAAGGCTCTCAAGCTACTTTGATTTGTAAGAGGGGAGACTACAGCTAAGGAGTTCTCCCTGAGCCACCAGCCCCTTCCAAGTCCAAGCTAACCTTCATCCGGTTACCCATCAAACATACAGCAGAAATTTGTGCACGGTGTGCGGGGAAGTGGGATCAAGGGCGGACAATTTTGGGGCGTGGATGCAGGGAAGGAATGTTTCTTCTGCTTTCTGTGGCAGAGGTGGGTTTGGTGAAATCTATTATTCTGTATCTTTTTTTGGATTCTAGTGTACTGTTTTGGCATGAGTCCCAGAGCTAGGCATCTCTGTATATTTTTCTTCTAACCAAGTGAATGTATTCTGTAATGTGAAAAAAAGCATAAGAGACAGGCTAGTCTAAACTATCATCAAAGCATTTTGCACATGTTAAGGCTTTTATTTATATTTAGTGGAAAATAACAGATACTTGAAGTGTTTCTGTAAATTATCATTGAGAGTTTTACAGGCCTCAAACATTCAGTAGCAGTGGTGACCTGCATGATACACACAGGTGAACTCAGGCTGGATCAGGCAGGGACAGAAGAAGATACACTACCTGGATCATTTTCTGTTGCAGAAATTCAGCTGGCTTGGTCACTGTCCTGTAGGATACGCTTAAATGAATCTCTTCCCCATAACACATTTGCTTTATCAGAGGGATTACGCAGGCCACAATAGGAGAGGGTTTGACTCCTTTCCTCCATATCCTCTCTACCTTGTAAAGATGTTCAGGTGACAGGAGTCACCAAATACATTTTAAGAGGGTAAGGGCTTGGACGCTATGCAGAAAAATTAGAACATATCGCTGAACAACTCAAGGGCCGAACCTTCCATTTACTATACCATTCTTGAATTATTTTAACTTCATTGAAACAGCGGTATTGCACTGGCATAAGCATAAAGAGGACATTTTTATGATGATATTCATCATCTAAACCTTTATCTATAGCTAGTCATTCAAGTCATCCATTAGGAGCTTTATAATGTGAGAAGAGGACTAAATGATAAAGAACAAGAACACGATCATAAGATACAAATGAAGAAAATATCCCAGCAAACAGATAAAACAGACAAAGTTAAGATTATTTTGGTCATTTCACCAGTAGGACTGGGGACAAAATATGTATGCTCTGTGTTTAGATTACATGGAAATGAGAATCAGTCTTTATGTTCTGAAATATATTTCTAGGATTAAATTATATTGCTAGCATACCCTTCATCAAAAAACCCAGAATATGTTAGAGGAAGAATATTATGGATTTAATACTTTCTCATTATAGATTCTCTAAAGTTAGAAAGCAAGTGTTGGTACAGTCCTCAGATAAAATGGCAAATAGTAGGGGCCTTACCTTGACTTTTGTTTTTACAGCATGTTAAATGATCTGAATAGATGGCTGTAATATTATCTCTGGCAATAACAGAAAAAAAATTCCACCCACATGTTTTGGAAAGTACTGACAATACTTGTTCACTACTTCCTTAGGGCTAGCAAACAACTGATTGAAGATCATGTGCAGCACCTGCACTAATACCCAGTACTGTGATCTCATGTGCTAAATTGAATTGTTTTTCCTTGACCTCCCTTTATTTTGATTCACTGATTTCCCCTTATAAAACAATTGCCAGCAGATTAATTTTTTTTAATTAAGGAAGAAATATCTCCTACACTAAATGAATTTTAATGGGAGCTGAAGGATAGTCTGTTGTAAGTATATATAGACAGGATTATTTTCTCTGTTTGCATCACTTACATACGGGTGACCTACTGGAACCTGTTAATGCAGGCTGGTGCTGCCAAATTATGTTATTAACTTCAGTGGAACATCTGGAAACCAAGGTCTAGGTTCACAAGGGCAAGACAAATGCTTCAGGACATGTCTACATTGCACTCTCCTGCATTCATGTATACCACCATAAAGTATGGCCTGCCCACTTGCTCTTGATCTGTATGCTCTATCTAGTTACCTTAGAGGCCTTGAGTGTACATGTCCTGAGCTTCTCTGAGGTTTTCTTGAGCGTACATATTAGCATATTCTCAAGGCCACTATAAAATAGCTTCACTGCTTTATTTCTGTGATTTTGTTTGTGCTGAATGGGAACAAGCAGGCAAGACATGTTTTGCAGACACTCCCAGGGCAGCACTATAGTGCCATAACCAAGGTTTACACGCTACTCTAGGCATTAAGTCCCAAACGAGATTCTTAAAATGCCACTCGAACCCTAGACTCTTCTGAATTTCATAGATAACCAGGTTTTAGCCAATGAAAAATATATAAACACCTAAGGTTCTGACACCATCCATACAGAGAACCACATTTTTGACAACCAAGTGCTTACCCCATACCTATAGCCCCAGAAGGATTCATAAACTAGGAATTCCCCCAAGTTTAGACATAATTATACTCTGAGAACACCCAGCCTCACATGCAAAGGAGGAAAACCCCTTTTACCGAATAGCTCAGTGGCTAGATCATTCACCCAGGATATGAAACTCCAACAGCTAGGCACCTGGTTGAGATACAATTCATACCTCTTTACACCTAGGAGAGTACCCTAACCATTTAGCTACAGGGTGCTCAGAAAACTCTCGTTCCATAGCATACAGTTAGGTACCTAACTCAGATCATCACTTGACTCTTTCCTCTGGAGATCAACAGAAAGAGTTAATACTGCCTAAGTGAAAAGCCTCAAAGGGAAGAGCCACAGCCAACATCCCTTATCAAACAACAGGGGAAGAAAATAATCTTTTGTAAAGAGAAGCAGTTGATTCATATCAAACTCACTTGCACAACACAGCAAATTAGTCTTCAGCCAAACGTTAGGTAACCCAACACCTTGATTTCTCCTACAGGCAATTTAAATATCACCACATTTAGAAACCCCACATTTTAGCCCAAACAGCTCAGCTGAGCTTTTAAATGGGAAGCCAGGTCACCTGAATACCTCCTTCATGGGCTCTTGCATTTCTTTAAAGTCACCTAAAAGAGAGTGCTACACAAAGACATATTGCTAATCCAAAAGAAAAGAAAAGAAAAGAAAGCATTTGGGCTTTCCCACCAATGCTTGTAAGGATATTTAAGATTCTAAATCAAGTGTAGAATATTTTTTTTCAAGCCCTCTACCTCCCAGATCCAATGGTTTGGTGCTCTCCTGAAAGGCCCTTATGATGCTGTTTCACCAAAGCTTTCCATAGGTGCTCTGTAGGGTAAAAAGTGCAAGTCTGATTTGTTTTGCTTGGTTGTTTTAGGGTTTTTTAACTATGCATGACCTTGCCCCTAATGTGCTATAATTCTGAAGTCCTGGTCCAGGTCCATCAGGCAGCTTTATAATCCCATAGCCTAGGAGAGGGTGCACAGCATTTCGATGTCCTACATGGGTTTCAATAATTACAGGATGGGGGAAAGGCCTAAATCCCAAAATTAGTTTTGTAAATAAACTTTCCTAGCACTTCTTCCTTTATTGATCCTCTGACTTCAAGACATAATTCACTTTTCCATTTTCCCATCATCCTACACACCAAATTCATTATTATTTAGAAAAGCAGGTTATTTCTTGGGAAAGGAAAACAATACAAGGAAAAAGGGAATCAATACCATGTTGATGATCAGCCTAGGAGAAAAAGTCATTATTCAGTTTCCAAAAGGTAAGTGTTTACCATTAATTTTTATACTGAGGTTTGGTGGAAGAAGCTACTGGAACAAGCTTCTCCCATCCTAATAAAGTAGAAACATAAAAACCTTGGTTGGAGTAGGGCTGGAAAGTCTGTTTAAATATAAGACGAAAGTAACTCAAACAGTGCAGACTCCTATTAGCATTATATTACTTTGTTAGAACTGGGTCTGAGCTGAATCTTGGCATTGTGCTCATTCATTGATTTCTTGACCTGGAGCCAAAAATATCGAGAGAGCCATGCTAGTCCCTAAGACTCATTAAAGCAAGAAGGAAGCTTTGGTGGGTATGTAGCATGTTGTTTTTCCTGCTGAGGAATAATAAGCTCAATAATATTTAATCTGAAGTAAATTTAACTCTTATTGACAATGCTAGGTAAACAGTTTCACAGCTGTATTAAAGTATTGCGACAGCTGGGTGCTTTGACTCAGCATTTTCTTGCAGACTGTAGGACGACAGCATTTCCTTATAACTGGACCAGTATATATTTTCCTGTTGATGTTTTTCTGTTTTTACATGTTCACCAAGATTGGGGGGACAGTTTTGTCTTCCTTTAGGGGTTGGGGGAAGGAAAAGTTATCTTGAGTCTAACAAGGAACAGGAATAGCTGACATGCTTTTATTGCCAAAACATTTTAAGCCCTTAGCTAGCTCTTCTGGAAGTTCCTGTGCAGAGGTAACATACTGATTAGAGTGAAGCACATTACTGAAATTAATTTGGCTATGGAACTTAAATTTAGAGTCACTCTAATGTTAAAATGATAAAATAGGATTGTGATCCTGTAGATTTGTTGCAGTCAATTAATAACCCTACTAAGGTTAGTCAGTATAAGTCAGAACTGCTTGCTAAGAAAGAGCTTTACAGAACTGGCTCACACTTAAAAGTTGCATTTTCAAATCTTCCAAGTATTGTGCATGGATGAGTTAATAAATGTATACAATCCAGATTGCAGTGCATTACCTTATTTTAGGGTAATGTGCATAAATAACTGGAAGAATGGGAATGAATCAAACCAAAGTTATGCAAAAAGATAAATTGGCTTGTGTAAATGTTAACCATACTGTGTCCAGCATACATGGAACAAAGATGTTGTAGAGCAGTAGCATACGTGATATATTAAGTAAGAGATCTTTGTTTAAGTACTTGACTCAAAGAGGATGAACCTTGTAAAGTTGAAACAATTCAAGGCTGCATATATGAGATTAGGATGTAGAGCATAATAAACTTTCCTATGTGTTAGAGCAAGAGAAGGACAGCAAGAGGAGGAGGATATTCAGGTCCAGCTCTCTTGTTTGCCATTAAATACCAGTAAATAGGAAAACCCTGAAGAGCAAATATTGTTACTTGTGTAAAGTTCCTCAGACATGACAAATCCCATAATGACCATAAGGTGAAAATATCCTTCCTTTTTGTAGCTTATATTAGACCTTTAGGGTCAAAGTTTGCCCTTTCTATGTTTTGTCTTATGTCTCACCTACTTCAGCAGGTGCATAACTGAAGTTGAACTTGGCTTTTAATAGTAACATATTACACATTAAATTATATTTGATAAGACTGCTGTAGATAATGCCTTCAGCCAAACATGCAGCTGCAGTGAAGCAGGCAAACAGGATGCTGAAAGGCAATATGAGAGAGACAATGGAAATGAAAGGAAATGTCTTGTTTCCATATGGAATGTTCTTCTCTGTATCCTGGCAGCTTCATTTGCTAATCTTGTAAAGATCAGGAGCAACCAAACAAAAGCAGGAGCATATCCTCTGTATATTATGTTCATGTTTACAAGATAGCTAAGGCTGAACAGAAGCCATTCCTAGTATAACGGAATTTGAATAGGTGTTCCAGATTACACAGCACAGGATTGCAGGTGCACACACACTGGGGTAGACCAGCTGTATACAGTTGCTAAGATGGTGTCCATTATGTATCATATTTGTGCTTTTCCTGTTTGTTACAAGGTATTAGTCTCTGGGGTGATTTTGGCAGGGAAGGTGTTCATGTCACAGAAATATTAAATTGCCTGTTTGTAATGGAAAACAACATTTATTTTAAAAGGCTACAATACAGCCAGCACAAGAGCCAACTATAAATATGTTCAAACATGAGCAGAAAACTTCCCATATCTAGAGCCCTCCCAACTTAGGTCAATGGGCAGCAGTTAAACAACATCAAGAATAGCACAGTTTGGGAATCAATTTAATAGCTGTATAACATAATGATGCTACCAGGTTCTGGGCATAAATTGTGGAAAAAGGCTAAAAGAAACTAGTGATTCTGAAACTAGGCTGGAGTCTGAGATTTTGGTTCAATCTATTTCTCATCTATAGACTACCAATCTAATTTTAAGGCAACTTGCTTAGTCTTTGTGTATCTTTATTTCACACTGACAACTTGTGTACTTCAAAATAGTATTGTGAAGATAAATAAATGGATGCTTATAAGTTATGTTTTACAGTAATTTGGGCAACAAAAGAACCTAGAGATATGCTGTGGATTTTCCCTCAACCGTTTCAAATTGAGAATGTAGATGAAATTTGCAGAAGTTTACAAAAAATAAAATTCCTTTAATTCAAGTAAAGGAGCAGATTATTTCCTCAGTCCTTGAACAGAATTCCCATTAATGTGACTAGAAACTTGGGGAGAAACTTAACCCAGTTTCAAGGAAAACCCATATGTACATGCATGATTTTAAATAATCAACATTGATAGAAAAATAGTTAATTTTAAAATATATTATTTTATTTCAAGGTACATAATAGTTAATGTACACCCAGTGGAAGGGAGGGACTATCACCAAAGAGGATACCTCCTTTGCTTGGGCTTGTAGGGAGGCTGTTAGGAAAGCTAAGGCAGATATGGAACTAGGGCTAGCATCAAGGATCAAGGACAACAAAAAGTCCTTTTTTTAAATACATAGGGAGTATGATGAAAGTACTGGGTAATGTGGGGCCCCTGCAGGATATGCTTGGCAATCTGGTGGTTGCACCAGAGGAAAAAGCAGACCTTTTTAACAATTTCTTTGCCTCCATTTTTTTGTGCAGGGACCAGGACTCCCCCACTGAGATTCAGGAGAGACTCAGGAGAGACTCTGACAGGCCTAGGGTCAGGGAGGACTGAGTTAGGGAGCTTCTGGAGGGGCTGGACATGTTCAAATCAGGAGGTCCAGATGATCTCCACACCAGGGTGCTGAGGGAATTGGCAGCGGTTATCGAGGGGCCCTTGGCATGGCTTTACGAGCACTTGTGGTGCTCTGGCCAGGTGCCAAAAGACTGGAAGAGGGCCAATGTGGTCCCCATTTTCAAAGAAGGGAGGACCTGGGCAATTATAGGCCCATTAGTCTTGCTTTGATCCTGGGGGAGCTTTGGAGAAGATTATCCAGGAGCACATCTGGGAAGGACCGGCAGGGGAGACAATGCTCAGGGGCAACCAGCATGGGTTCATTAGGAGCAGATCCTATCAGACCAACAAATTATTGGACACAGGTGTCACGGTGGATGTAGTCTTTCTGGACTTCAAGAAGGCCTTTGACACTGTCTCCCACCTCATTCTCATTAAAAAGCTAGGCAACTCTGGCAATGATGCCTACACAGTCAGATGGATCACAAATTGGCTGAGGAACTGCACCCTGAGAGTGGTGGTGGACAGGTCATATTCGACCTGGAGGGATGTGGGCAGTGGGGTCCCCCAGGGTTCGGTCCTCGGGCCCGCACTGTTTAATCTCTTTATTAACAACTTGGACGAAAGGGTGAAAAGCACCCTGTTCAAATTTACTGACGACACCAAGAACTGGGGCGAAGTGGGCATGCTAGAAAGGAGGGACAGGGTACAGCTGGACCTGGACAGGTTACAGGGATGGGCAAATGAAAATAGGATGGGATTCAATACTGACAAGTGCAGGGTACTGCACTTGGGCAGTAAGAACCAGCAGCATACCTATAGGCTGGGGAACTCCCTTCTCAAAAGCACAGTGGCAGAAAGAGATCTTGGAGTCTTTATCGATTCCAAAATGAATATGGGCTGCCAATATGAGGACACAGTCAGTAAGGCCAACCGCACCTTGTCATGCATCCACAGATGCATCACAAGCAGGGCCAAGGAGGTGATCTTTCCCCTCTATGCAACACTGGCCAGGCCACAGTTGGAGTACTGCATCCAGTTCTGGGTGCCGCACTTTAGGAGAGATGTGGCCAGCATCAAGAGGGTCCAGACGAGGGCCACTAGCATGATCCGGGGACAGCAGGCAGACCCTATGAGGAGAGGCGACGGGACCTGAACCTGTTCAGCCTTCACAAGAGAAGGCTGAGAGGGGACCTGGTGGCCGTCTACAAACTTACCAGGGGGGACCAGCTGGGAATGGGAGAGACCCTGTTCACCCGTGCACCTCCCGGAGTAACAAGGAATAACGGCCATAAGTTGTTTGAGAGTAGGTTCAGGCTGGATATTAGAAGACACTATTTCACAGTCAGGGCGGCTAGGATCTGGAACCAACTTCCAAGGAAAGTGATGCTGTCTCCTACCGTGGGGGTCTTTAAGAGGAGGCTTGACACTTACCTAGCTGGGATCCTATAAGCCCGATATTCTCTCATGCCTAGGCAGGGCACAAGACTTGATGATCTACTTAGGTCCCTTCTGACCCTACATCTATGAATCTATGTAAAGTAGGATGTATTCATTGTAATGTGCAGCTCTTATCATGACTGTCCAGAGCAGGGGGGCTGGATCCGATGATTTCATGAGGTCCCTTTCAGCCGTAAACCTCTGTGAATCTGTGAAATAGTATACAGCCAGTAGATGATTGATATACATTATATCATAAGTTCTTGAGAAAACGTTCCTCTTCCATGTATGCCTACTGTTATATAGAATCAGAGAGTTGAAGGAACCTCAAGAGTCCTCTAATGCAACTCCTTGCATAAATGCAGTATGCACTGTTCTTAAGCTACCCTTGTCAAATGCTTATCCTCTTAGCTAAGTACA